GTCTGCTACGGCTCCAGAGATGGTGAAAAAGGTGGCTCTCCGAATTCAATGGAACCCCAGGCGTTCCATGAGGAAGATGGCCAGGGAAATGCACATATCAGAGGGATCCATGAGAACTATTGTCAAGAAACATCTTCATCTGAAATCTCTCAAACGCAAGCATGCGCAACTGCTGCCACCTCGCACAAGGCAGTTGCGACTTCAACGAAGCAAGGCCCTGCTGCAGCGGTTCACGGCTGATGATGTGGACAAAATCCTGTTTTCAGATGAAAAATTGTTCACCATCCAGGCCGTCTCCAATCGACAAAATGATAGGATTCTAGCACCACGAATCTCAGATGTCTCGGGCGATATGCTAATCATGCCTCATTCACAACACCCCCAGTCTGTTATGGTTTGGGCAGGTGTGTCTGCCAACAGTTGCACCAATCTGGTTTTTGTTCCTGAAGGGGTCAAGATAAACAGTACAATGTACAAAGATCTCATTCTAGACCCAGTAGTGAAACATGTGGGTCAAACCATGTTCAGCAACCAGGCTTGGACATTTCAGCAAAACGGTGCGCCAGCACACACTTCCAACATTTCCCAAGCATGGCTTCATCATGAAATTTCGGACTTCATTATGAAGGACCAATGGCCTCCCAGCTCCCCTGACCCGAACCCTCTGGATTTTTCTATTTGGTCCATTTTGGAGACAAGAGTTGGGGCTAGTGCCCACCGCAACATCGAAGCCCTTAAGAAGTCTTTGGTCCGAGAATGGAAGAATATTCCACAGCATCAGCTGCGTGCTGCAGTACGCGCGCGCTTTCCGCCCTCGATTGAAGGCTTGCATTTCCAAACGTGGCGGACATTTCGAGTAGCTATGGTTCCTTACATTGACTGACACTTTGTACTAAATAATCACTTGAAGTTGTCGTTCTTGTTGCTTTGGTTGTTTTTGGCAAAGAAACGTTTGTAACAGAACTTCTTACGCACCCTGTATTGTACAGTACTCGCCTCAATTCAATGGGACATTTCCCCTTTAAAATATTTTGCCGATGCATCGCGATGGTAGAAAAAACTATCGATATCTCCAACTATCGATAGTGGTATCGATGCATCGATCTATCGTGACAGCCATAATATACACACACACACAGGGTGGTGCAAAAGTAAATATATAGTAAGCAGTTTATTTATTTACAAAACATTTAGGGAGCTGTTCAAACTGGTGGCTGTCACAGTTGACACATTTCTAGAAACGGTCCTTAACACTTCTGCATATTTTCTGACACAGTTCCTTATTTTCATTAATCTCATTGAATGCATCTGTGTCATCAAACAGCTAACTTTATAAATACTTTTGCACCACCCTGTATGTCTGTAAGATGAAGAGATTCAAATGCAAAAGCCACTTGGGTCAGTCAAGACCAATTAATCAACTCAGACATCAAGGCAGCATGTATGGGTTAATGTAGTCTAACCATAAACTGACCTCTAGATGAAAAGGATTAAAACTATTCAGGAACTGTGAAGAGTGCACAAAAAGAGAAATTGTGAAATTAGCCTTATGGGCCAACTTGCAATGAAGGAGTTGTGTCAGGCACGACCCTGCTATATAGACCATGGTGCAGCTTGACCCTTTCTGACACTCTGCACTAGGAATGCAAATGTTTAGAAAGAAAGACAGTTTCTGCCTAAACAGAGAGCAGATAGGGGCATCCATCCTTAAGACTCTCTCACATTCACCCTAATAGCATAAATCATTAGTGATTAAGGTTGCACCTATGCCACTAAATGGCAGTTAGTGCATTGTGTTTGATGAATGTGGAGAGGGTGATGCTCAGGCAACCAACATCCCACTCATTATCCAGCAGTGAGAAGCTCTTCCTAGTGTGGAGATTCATCCTTGAAATGTCTCACCATGTTCCCAGGCTCACTATATTTAAACAATAGGCAAAGGAAAAAGCCAATTGACAAAGATGCCTCACTGGTACATACATTTTGGATGTGCTGCAATCTGGGCCTTTGTTGGTCCATCAGGCCAATTTCACAATCTCTCCTTTTTTGTGCACTCTTCATGGTTCCTCAATAGTTTTAATCCACTTCAGCCCTAAGTATTTGATGAGTAAACTTCATATATCTATATGAATACATATAAGACTATAACAAATTGAAGCCATAGGCAGGAACACACTTGGAAACGAATGAGAACTTGGGCTGGAGACTTCCCATATTTGCTGGCGATCTCCTTGACCTTGGGATCATTTATCAGAGTTGGATCTTCGGGTTTAGCCCATGGCCTGTCAGGTGATCCCAATGGGCTATAGGCAACCATCTGAATTCCTCTCTCCTTGCAGAAGGCAAGCAACTTATTTTGCGGCAACCAAGGAGTACACTCCACCTAAGCAATACAGATGCTTTCTGAGTTGATGCTTATGGACACAAGTAAAATATGGCAAGGTTCAAACAATACCTGGTTCACAACAGGTTTGATGCGAGCCTTAGCAAGGACACGATCGACCTGTTGGCTGTTAAAATTGGACAATCCAATGGATTTGGCCAAGCCCAAATCTACACACTCTTCCATCCCTTCCCATGTTTCCAAATAGTCAAAATCAGAATAGAGGAACTTTCCATTCTCATCCTTTGGAAAATATTCATCTCCTTCCTGATAAATCAAGATTCATAGTGTGAGAATGACCATCCTGACAAGTTTATGGAAAGGAGGAGGTGGGGTGGAAGAAGTTTCCATTCACCTTGAATCCCATGGGCCAATGTATCAAGTAAAGGTCAATGTAGTCAATTCCCCATCTTTTGAGAGAGTCTCTAAGAGCTTTAACTACCATCTCTTTTCGATGATATGTGTTCCAGCACTAAAAGTGAGCATAGGATCTGTCAGTGGAATAAAACACTGAAAGACTGCTTTGAAAGGAAGCAAAACCTTGGTTGTTAGGAAGAGGTCTTCCCGTTTCACTGTCCCGTCTTGAATCTTCGCCTTGATCCCTTCAGCAACTTCCTCCTCATTTTTGTATGCTATAGCACCATCAATATGCCTGTACCCAAGGTCAATTGCATCTCTCACAGCATGCTCCACTTCACCAGGTTTGGACTGCCAAATAGAAAATCTGAAGTAGGACAGGCCCAAGGGTGGGTTTATGCATCCAAGTATACCAACATTAACCTCTTGTGTAATCGGCATTTCTACAGGAGTTCTACACAAAAGAGTGCATCATACTTCACTGAAGCAAGGTTCCTCTTTATTTTCATGCGTGTATACTTGCATACGTAAACCCACTGTAAACCTCAACCAATAAGAGAAGAAACTTTTCATAAGTTCTTCATTCACCTTCCAAGTTCCAAGTCCCAGTATAGGCATCTCCTTCCCATTGTTGAGCTTGAGAACAGGGATTTTTGATGCCACCATCTTTGCTATTTGAATCAAAATCAACTCAACCTAACACTCTCCTTAGGCATTATCATATACTATCAAGAACCATGAGGTAATTATGACTTTCTTGACTTAGACTTTTCATTTCAAACACCTGTTGTGCCACAGTCAGTGGCTCCTGTAGCATTACAGGAGTTTGACAGTTTCAAATAATATGGCATGCAATAAAAACAATTACACTGCATGCACAACTTCATTTTATTTCAATAAACCCTATTTAGGCTTCAATGGCCTCTGGTGACCGAAAAGCAAGCACTAGTGAATAGTTGACACTGAAACTGTGGCTCAAACACAATACCCTCCACTTCTGGAACATGGATGCCCATAAATCCATGCTGCATAATGTAAGACTCCCAGTTCACTTCCATGCAATCTTTTCACATCTTGGTTTCTACTCCAGCAAGATACAGTAATTAATGTTCTTTTAAAATTAACCTCCTCAGAAAATATATATAACTGATGAAAAAATGAGATCTTTAAATTTTTGCCTTACAAGTAAACTACTACATTCCCGTTCAGTGAACCGGGACTCTGAATGCTAACATCTCACACAATGGCTAATAAGAAAGACATGTAACTTTTAGGTGTGAATTGTGGAGAATGGAGTTGTCCTTCCTTTTTTTGCCTCTTTGTCCCTCACTAAAGAACTTTCCCTCTCTGTTTCCCCAAATGTATGAGTCAAAATATCAATTATTAGCAGATCATCTCTGCATAATTCTGTGATAATGACAAAGAATTCAGCAGGTGATGCAAGTGAGAGGAAAAATTCAACAAACCTTATGGGTGCAGTCATGAGTGGAACAGTGAAACTACAGTCAAGGGCAATCCAAGTTGGTTAAGCAGGTGAAGCTGTACTACTTTCAATGATATACAAAAATGCATTGCATAGTCTGATTGGAGCACGGGAATGTCTGATAGGATTGCACTGATCAAATTCAAATTAATGCGTCAGAGCATCTATTGGAATTTGGAATGATATTAAAGACTCATTTCATTTGTGTCATCCACGGTTTTTCACCATGTTTGATATACAACTGCATTTAGGACATCCCTCCCTTAGCCTTTTCATTGGCAGTGGAAAGTATACTTTCCAGAAAACATTCAGCCCTCCCCTTGCTCTTGGAAGGCTGCACATAATAAAAAATTTTCCCACGAAAGGTTCAAGGAGAAAACTCCCCCATTTGTATTCTTTGTACTTTTCCTTTTGAATTAGCACTTAAAGTTACATGACATTTCATGCAACCACTAATGAGACCCCTTCACTGTGTCAAATCAGTAAAAATTCCTACCACATGCAATTTATCAAATGTTTCGGCCATGTCTCAATAGCCAAAGGAAGTAATGTTGATGCTATTTCTCGGTGGTACAAAGAGAATGAACATTCAGATGCAAGAGACACCAGTCTTTCCATGCAACCACTTATGGGATATACCCATTCAAAGTTTATGCATCTGGTTCAGTGAAAGTAAGTACTTATCAAGGCAGCAGATATTTAAAATTTTGCATTATGGCAGCTAGCTAGCTTACACTTTGATCCTGTTCCACATTTGTCCGAACAAAATCATTCCAATATTTGTCTTGTCCCATTTAGACAGTTGTGATGGTCCAAAAGAAATTCATCTGGTGTGAGTGAAGAGATACTTTGCTCCACAGGATTAGTCACATTGACACAGTAACAATTTTCTACCAAAATATCAAAATTTCTGTTCTGCATCACTGTGACAGGCATCAGAGTATAGAGACAGGTAATATAGAAGTGGAATGGAAATTAATAAAAGCATACTTCCATGATACTCTTTTTTTCTGAATCTTCCTAGAACCATGTGAATAAAGATTGCAAGGGGACAGAGGATCCAGTTCATCTATCTCCAACTGGTCATTGTCATTACTAACATTGGAGTCATTGAAGCAAATGCAGATGTTGAAGGCACCCAAGGGATATGCTTGCAGAAGCCAAGGAACATTTTGATGTCCACTTGAGGGGAATTCAGATTATCTCTCTCCCGCAAAATTAGAATTCAATGTTGAATGGATAATACTTGTGACTCTTGTCCCTGTCAGAGATAACCAGACAAAGGGACTTATCATATAATGTGAATATATGATGTGAACTATTCTGGTCTGGTGATCTGGCAAGTGAAACACAACTCACCACTGCTGATGGCAGAGTCTACCCCTGGCTTCCAGGTTGAAACTTTCTAATTCCTTCATGTCTACAGGATCCAACTCAAAGTCAAAGATCCTGAAGTTCTCTTCAATGCAAGACTTAGTGATGGATTTAGGAATGACTGCAACCATGCGCTGCACCTGAATACAATAAGTAAACCACATGATGTCATGATTTTCTGATTCCAGAAATTAAAATCACTAACAAATATTACCTGGAAGCAAAGCAGTATTTGAGCTTTGGATTTCCCATATTTCTTGGCTATTGCTTGAATTTTAGGGTCTTCAAATAGAGAAGGGTCATCTGGCTTGGCCCATGGTCTGTCAGGAGATCCCAGAGGACTGTAGGCTGTAAGCACTATCCCCTTCTTCTCACAGAATTCCAGCAACTTTTGCTGATTAAGATATGGATGGCATTCCACCAACAGATCATTATAATATTATTAAGAGTACAAAAATGAGGAAATTCCAATGAATGGACATATAAGGGAACAAGAATGTAGGAAATATAGAAAGGGAACCTGGTTCTCAGTTGGCTTGATTTGTGCAGCTTGTAATAATCTGTCAATTTGTTCAGAATTGAAGTTGGAAAGACCAATGGAGCGTGTGAGGCCAGCATTCAGTCTTCCATCCCCTTCCATGTGTCCACACAGTCAACATCTAAGTACAGAGGATTTCCATCTGCATCCTTTGGACTCATGTCACCTCCTTCCTAGGCAAGGAAGATGGCAAATAATGAAATCAGAAAATTTAGGCCATATAACTTCATGAATCATAAAACAATTCCATAAAGGATTTCATTTCAGATCCTTCCAGTGAAACATGCACATGAAAACAACTCACTTCATATGCCATGGGCCAATGCATTAGATAGAGATTCACATAATCCAGAGCAAGGAGTTTCAAAGACATCTCCAAAGCTGGCTTCACGCTTGTGCACATGTGAGAGTTGTTCCACAACTGAAAAAGAAGACCTAAACATTAGACCACACTGGTACCAATAACCAATAAAACAATGTTTTTAACTGTTATCTTCATGGTTTTTCTGGAGAATATCTAATAAAGGGTGTGCAGATGCAACTTTTTTTGTCAAAAAGTAAAGCTCCAAGTCAAATTGGACATATCAATTTAGAAAAAAGAAGAGCTAATCAAGCTGATACTCTAAGTCAAGCTCAATTGACTATTATAGGAAAAAGGCTTTAGCTCAGAATATTCCTATTATTAAATGTTTATAAAAGTTGTTATATTCAAGCTATGCTCCATAGCCTATGCTAAGATACCAATGCAAAATGACAACCATGTCATTTCCCTGGGGAACAGGGTTCTGGGTTGTATGGCAGTAATGAAGGACTGTAAATTTTCTGTAAAATGAAAACCTGGGGGAAATTCATGGCTTCATATCCTTTTTAATGTGTAACAGACTGACTGAGTGAACTGACATGAGAATCCTTCAGGGAATAAATACTGTCCTAACACATCATTGACTCTCATTCTTGATGATCATCATGTTCCCCAGGGAAATGACATGGTTGTCATTTTGCATTGGTATCTTAAGGCTCATTTACTTTAGGCATTGTGAAGAAACTATTCATTAGCACTTTCATTAAACATTTTGAGGGAATAATTATAAGTGTCAATTCTAGCAAGCATGAATGGTGCTATTGTTATCAGGAATGACCATTGCAATTTTTCCCAACAAATTATGCCTAAACAACACCCTCCTCTTTCCAGTTCATCATATTGTATTACATGGATCAATGAACTGTTTGTTTTTATCAAGTTAGTAAATTAAGGTACACCTGAAGCCTTAAACTTCTATTCCAGCACAAAACTTGCTCTGCAACAGTCTAAACTAAGCTGCTCTGCAAAGGGATACTGGTATCAGTATAAGTAGAATACTCACCTTAGTGACAACAAAAACTTCCTCTCATTTCACTGTGCCATCCTTGATTTTTGCCTCGATTCCAACTCCTACCTCCTTCTCATTCTGATATATGCTTGTGCAGTCAATGTGCCAATATCCAATATCAATGGCATCCTGAACTGCTTGTTCCACCTTCCCTGGAGGGGACTAACATTAGCCCATTATCATATACAAGGTACCTCTGAATATTACTGGTCGTGTTGCTGCCATTAATTGTCCAATCTAGAAAAGCTGGAACATGTTCATTCATGTGAAAAGTCTGACTGTGACATCACAAAATAGGAAGTCTGAACTAATTCCAAATAAGAACTTGCCAGAGGCAGTGCATTTAGATCGGTCTCTTATTTGCACTGGTTGAAGAAGAAGAAAGCAACTTTTGAAGTCGAGAAAACCATAATAAACTTTTTAACTTTCCAAGTGAAGAAGCAAGTCACATTCACCTGCAATTCAGTGAAGTTGCAGATGATCCACACAGAATATGGCATTGTTATGGAAGACAGGCTTCAATCAGTTGAGATAATCAAATAAGACAGGCAGGGTCATGTTATGCATTGTTTCCAGTTTCTAAAGGGTCCTTATGGTTTATGCCATGTCAGGGCTACAGTTACTGGGTTAAATTACCTAGACATCATTCACAAGTGCCCACCAGCCATTTCAAGGGAGCAGCCTGAGTGTGCAGTCAACTTCTTCATCCTGCACTATGATAATGCACTCCCTCATACTGGTATTTCTCACCAGTTCTTGGAGGAAAGAAACATCAAACCGTTGCGCCATGCCCTTAACTCTTTCGCTGCATAGTAGAATCGATATGGGTTAAGGAGGACTAGCTGCTATGTGAAAAAAGTCTAACACTGCAGTGAAAGAGTTAAACCTCCAAATTAGCCCTCTGTGACTTCTACTTATTCTTCAGGTTCAAGGTACAATTTCACAGCATACCTAAGTCATTAAAACTCTAGGAACTACTATGACAAGATATAGCACCAGGCCCAAGAGGTACTTGGCTCATAACTACATCCAAACACCAGCTAACCCCATTAAAACCTCCCCCCTGCAATGTCAGCTAACTCAATCAACTCCTAACCATAGGAGACCAAATCTGACAAGAGTGGTTACTTCAGGGATATGCTACCAGGGTTCAATCTTCACCACCAGGATTCTTTAATGTCCCACATCCTGACACAAGATGTACCAAGTGCTCAGGGATCTCCCTTCCCAAGTATGCCAGGTTTTGCACTCAGAAATAAATGCCTAACTTGGTTGGGTTTGAACCCAGGTCCCTTGCCACAGAAGCCAAGCTTGTTACCAACTGAGCCACTCACCTGCCCAAAAAGATTATCATAGTCACTGAGAAGTGGGGTGCTATAATGTATTTCTGATTCAGTTTGTTTCAGTCTCAGTATTCCTAAGATTTCTCCTGGGCTTTGGACCATCTGAAAGATGTTTACAAGTGGAATAAACATACCCCCAAAAAGTTATTTGCAGGAGCCTTTCATGAGATGCTGAAGCAGTGTGAAAAATCTAAAACAAGAGAAGATTACACAGGAAAATGAGATCCATTTAATTGCTTCATTCTTACATTGAAAATGAATAAAACAGTTCTGATTATTATGTTCTTTATTGAACAAATATGTCATCATAGATTCAAAACTTTAACAATACCTTTCAAGAAAGATTCAAATTTCAACAAAAAAACATGCTTCCCAATCAGTTGAAATGTCTCCTCAGATTAAAAGTATATATTTTAAAAATTGAACAAGTTTCCTGATAGGCAAATTCTTATATGAATCTCCAAACTGGTGCAACTGGAATTTCATTATCACTTGAGACAATTTTAAAATTTGGAGAAATGTTGGGTCTCTCAACAGATCTATGCCTTTCAGCTATGTTCAAGGATATTGCGTATGGATTATTCAATGCAAAAAGTCATAAATACAAGCCATAAGGCCAAGTCGAAGGCAGAGAATCTACAATTTAAAAAATGAAGAGGTAGAAGTGTGAAGAGAAAACAGACTTTCCTAATTGTTTATTTTACTCCATGTCAGCTGCAAACCCTCTACCGACTCTACGAGTCTTCCCAACACTGTCATCTGTGTGAAGCTTGGTACAATGGATAGAGGACCTAAGGTACGCATGTGCCATCGGTAATTATAGAATTTTAATTAACTAAATTCAGACATTAGTAATTCATTCCGAAAAGGTGGCTCCTTTCAAAGATGTTTATTTGCTTGAAAATTATAGGCCTACGGTATTTTGCGGCTAGAAGAGGATAACCATGCCCACATATTACGCCTATGGGCAGTCTTGAGTTAACCTAGAACAAATTTAAATGCAATCGTTCAGATCAGTTTCCCTGTCACTTTCCTTCCAAGTCCCGAGTCCAATCAGAGGGAAGTCGATACCATTGTTGAGTTTGACAGTAACCATCTTCAGTATAAATTCAAGCCGTGATTAATTCCCACTAGACGAACCGCATCCTATCAATGCCGAACACGTGTCCCTGACCCTCACAGTAAGCCAGGCCCGGCCCGCTCTTGTCATGTGACTTGGCATTGCTGTAATGGGAACCGGGAGCAGGGATGCATAATGTTCACGCTTTTCCTTCACGGCGAATTTTTTGCCTCTCATCATCTAGTAAAGGTATCGAAACGCTAAAAGCATGGGAAGCATTAGAATTCCCCTTTATTTTGGAGGAGGGCAAATTTTTCCGAAATAACGACGACTTATTTCTCTGGATGATTTATGTTCGAATCTTGCAACCCGTGAAACTCTTCAAGGTCTGTCAGTGGAATGTTGTCATTATTATTCGATGTCTCTCTCGTCGGCGTCATCCTGGCCTGGGCGGTATTCGTACGAGCTTACTCGGCGTCCTTCGTATTGATTCCATGCTCCTTCGAGAGTCAACTCTCTCACCGAATGTTACTCCGACCAATATTGATCAATTTGGTTATGCTCCGTTTGCAAAGTAAAATACAAAATACAAAGTATTCTGCGGGATCGAGAGTTCGAATGAGACATCCGTTTTTTAATTATTAGTTTATTAATTGTTAGAATCTTCCGGGTGATTCATAGTTTCGATGTTACCCCTTATTTGAGACATTCAGACTTTATTATTAGGGTTCCTTCAATCACCACTAGCCTCTCCAGACCGGACTGGTGAGCCTACTTGCCAAGTCCTATAATTCATCTGCAGATCAGAAGAGGTTAGGCGGAGGTAGTCCCAGAGTCCAATAATCGTGTAGCAATTCACGAGTGGCCTCTGGTATGCCATTTCCTCGTGACCAGAACTCTTTCTTTTCCGTTTGATAAGTTAATACAAGGCCTTCACAAATTCTGCACTGTATTTGCAGAGCAAAACTTCGCTCAGAAATTGCAGTTTGTAGAGGCGGTAGCAAATCCGCATCGCTCCAAAAGGCTCCAAAGACAAATTCAGAACCATGTGTGCGTTTCCGTCGGTGTTATGGATATGAGGAGAATTTCCATTTGACTTCGAGGAATAGTTGCTGGAAAAAATGTATTTAATTGGGAAGTTAATAGAGATGCTCGTCACCAAGCGCCGAAGCTCACTCAGAGACCAACGATCTCCAGCTGTTTCACGAGAAATACGACAAAAATTCAATAGTGCAACGATTCTTCTCCATCCCGGCGAGAGATGAAGAGAGAGAGAGATCAAGATCAAGGGTGATGCTGGAGGGTGGATGCGCCTCGAGGAGGCACAGAAGGTTGAGGGATTGGCGCCACTTCCAGACTACGAGGAAGAAATGCAAACAAAAACACTGGGGACGAGCATGGCGCCAGGGTGCTTCCCTGCTTGCATGGCTGGTATCTCCATCAAGCAGAAATTCTCGTTATATGCACGAGACAGGGACGAATTCGTTCAGTCATCAGTTTGGCAAGCGCGAGAGAGCGAGGATGTCGGTCGGCGTGCGCTGTTGGGCCCTCTTCACCATCTCCGTCCCCCTGACGGTCTTCGCGGACGCACAGGCTCTGCGCCAGGTCAGACGATCTTCGTTCCTGAGGGTTCCTGAGGGGGCGGGTCGGTGAGGGGGTGTCGCTCGATCGGAGGGCTTAAACTGTTTTCCGGGAGGAGATATGACTCGTGAGCGGATCGTAATGAGAGTTATCTTGCCGTGGATGGGCAAAGTCAATCGCTGTTTTGAAACTCGACCCTGGGAGATAAAAGACGCAGTGCCGAGACGGAAGTGCTCGAATCCGAAGGGAAGAGAGGACCTTCAGTCGGGCACTTCCTCTTCGAGATACGATGACTGTTTGCTAAACGTACTCTATGGGGGACAGGAAGGGGGTATTGCAGGGACGGAATGTCGGATCCCGAGCCAAGAGCTCTTGAGCACTGCCCAGAGCATGACTTCGCAGCTTCTTCAAGGAGTCTGTAACCCGCGTGAGTATGTCTCGATCCCTCGGCGATTCTGCTAATTAAGTTCTAATTAAGTTCATTCATCCGATGCAGGGGAACTGGACGACAAGCTTTCGGGCCTGGAGACGATGGTGAGCGCCCAGATGAACGTGCTGAAAACGATGATCCTGAACATGGAGGACAAGCTAGGGTCCCAAGAGATGGCATTCAAGAGGCAATATCGACGGATTCTGAGCCTTCTGACCGGGAGAACGGAAGCTCCATTCCAAAATCTGAGCCAGAGAGGGAACTCGGGATTCCATGATGAGACCGCGCTCCCTCGAGTATACGGCAGCGACACGCTTCAAGAGGTCTCGGATTCCTTTCAGTCCAGTATCATCGATCAGCCGAAAAACCTCGATTCCTACAACAAGGTCTCCGACAGGAGATACGAAATCGAGACGCACAATAATACCATCACGACTCTTCGTGGGCAGAGGGTTTTCAGGTGAGCACGCGCTCGTGTTCTTTTGTCTGAGATCATTCGCATTCAGTCCCCGAAATCCCAGTCGCAATCGAAATTTCCGTCCGGATAACGGTGAGTTTCCATGAGGTCATTTCTCTGTCTGGGTTTCTCTCTCGTAGATTCTATTGGAACATCTCGAACATCGAATACAAGATCACTCATTGGGGCAGCCGCCGTTCCCTCCGGAGCGACAACTTCTACATTTTCCAGTACGGATACAACATGTACATGAGGATCTACCCTCGTCAGGATCGGAAGAACTTCTACATCCACGTGGGGCTGACCCCGGGGCAATACGATCACCTGCTGGACTGGCCCTTCAAGCTGAAGCACTACGTGAGCGTCCTGGATTTCTCGGAGGAACCGGACGACATCAGCTCGAGGGTCTGGGACCCCCAGGAGCTCTGCAGCGGGTGGAACTGGCGGCGACCGCAGCAGAGCCAGGACAACTTCGAATGCGTGGGGCTGGGGTTCCCCGTGGAGCTGCTGCGCTCTCGCAATTACGTTCGCGGGGACAGCATCGTCATTCGGCTCACCGTGTATCTTGACACCCAGCTGTAGAATCGGACACTGACGGCTTTTCGTTGCATGACTCTCGTACTTTCGAATTTTATATCAATAAAATGCTATAGTCTCCTGGCATCCGCGTTCTCGTTTTAGTCGTCAAGTAGGTCGTGCTGGGACAGTTTAAAGAGGTCAGACGGAGGTGTCGCCGTTTCAAAAGGGTTCAAGTCCGACGTCTGTCTATGTGAAGGTCAGGACCAGGACCCCAAACAATGACGCAATCGGAAAAGTCACCGCTAAAGGGGAATTCGTCCGACGAGGATTCGAGGAAAGGCCGTCTTTGCCAGACAGTCTTGCATCACAATCACCATTTGTCATCGGGCGGAAGTCATCAGTACCTGTGTCTCGGAGCCACCTACTGGGCTCGTACTCATGCCTTCCTGATTTTTTTTTTTCCCAGCGCCAGGTCAAGTAAAAATGAAAGAAAAAAATAATCCCTCTTAAAGGAGCATTTGAGATTGGAATATCCACGGCATTTCGAGCACGTCATAACAACCCATTAGTCCAAAATTTCGGCGGGACAATCTGAGCAAAGGCTTGTAATGTTACTCATGCGAAGGGCAGAGAACATCCGTGGGAAGGCCATCGAGCATGGAAACCACTGCGACACAGGATACGCTGAGGAGGATGTGATTTGTCATAGCCCCATATGCGGTAGAGACCTTAACAGTTGTCGCAGGTGCATCGGAGCAGGGGTCATGCCCAGTCTCCGAAATGAGTGAAGAATGAATGAACGAATGAATGAAGGGCTAGGCCCGCGCGGTTCATTAGAGACACCGTGGATGAATGGGCGCATGGCAGGAGGAGGTTGATGGAGGGGGGCATCTGGGAGTGGTCCCGCATTGACAAAGACACCTGTGCCCACATATTCCCCGCTGGGACCTACCACACCAGACAGCGTGGCTCCATGACTTAGCTACTTTCCATCCACTTCTGTTGTGACCCTTGACACCCTTCCGTCGAGCGGGCGAGAGCGAAGACCAGCCTCATCCGCGCCATGGGATTTCCGAGAAACGGAATTCCTCGCGGCTGGGCGCGAGGCCAAGCCTACTGCGTTGTAAAAATCGAATGAAGAAAAAGTCTTTCATTGCGGGTGATGTCGAACAGGGACGAGGGGGTTGCCGGTGGAATGAGACGAAGAACTGGTGTTTGACGAAAAGAACGAAGTTCAGCGCTACGTCCCCGAGAAATCGGAGCAAAGATGATGAACGAGATGGCGGAGGCGATGAAAAAGTCTAGATTGATATTCGTGACCATGAGAGATGATGAGACCCTGGGGGAGGTACTTGTACCAGTGGGGTACTGAGAGGAAGAGGACTGAATATGGAGAGAGCAAGGGAAAGGCGGTAAGAGAGAGAGAGAGAGAAAGAGAAAGAGTGAGAGAGAGAGAGAGAGAGAGAGAGGGCTTTCGAAACGTAGTGAAGCTAAGGCTTGAAGGTCACAGGGAAACATAAAAATGGGCCGGAGTGATGGGAGATTTTGGCCAGTCCGACGCAGGCACAACACCGGGAGCATCCAGGATGTTAATGACCGTCCCCCTCCTCGCCCTGTTCCCCGTGCTCCTCCGTGCCGCCCCGGACGCCTGCGACCAAGACAAACTCCTCCTCTACCAGGTGAACCTGGAAACCAACTGGTCGCGGGAGGCCTTCCCGAAGCACTATCCCGAATGGAGGCCCCCCGCTCAGTGGTCCAAAGTCGTCGGTGAGTCTCCCACCGTTTTTTTTTTTTAAATTTGGAAATCGATCGTTCGAGACTTTTAATGTTTTTTTTTTTCTCGGAGAATGGAAGGTAAGAAAATCGTGAATTTCGTCGAAAATCGTGTGCAGTTTTCAGCTTCTAGACTCGATTAAACGCAGGATACTTATTATTTATAACGATTAAATTTTCGGATGATTTCGTTCTCGTTGCGGCAACGAAAACCACGTGGCAGCTTCAACAAGTTCGCGGAAAGATCCTGTAACTCCTTCATTCCGTGACCAACAGATGAAAATTTTTAGATCCTGGTAACGGGTCTTGGGAATGCAGCGGACAATTTTATTCATTTTTGCCTTCTCCCCCAATTTTTTTTTGAAGATTTTTGTTGTTGTTGTTGTTAATGGGCTCTTCGTCATCTCCGACAGAAACGAGCGAGGAACATACACATACGTATATATATATTTTTTTTTTTTAAATATAATATATATTTTATACTATATTTAAAAAATATATACAGTATCTATAAATTATATTTTAACCCTCTACGACCCAACGCAACTCGAAAGTCCCCCAGTGAACTCAGGATTTAATCCCGTGGAATTTCACCGCCGCGCCCCCGCGACTCGACGCAACCCCCCCCCCCCGCCCCCCCTGCCCCCCTGCCCCCCCCCGGAAGTTCCCCAAGTCGCTGCGACCAGGCTTTCCACTCGCATCGCCGCGTGGTCTCATCGTGGTTTTCACTGCTAGTATTGCTGTTTTTTTTTTTTGCACTTCGTTGTTCATGAAATGAGGGAATGAGGGTTTAACTATATTACTAATTCGATGGAAAATGTTTTGAAATTAAATCTGCAACTTTCAATTTTTTTTTAGCTAAGTGCTTTGAGCACAAAAATTTCATGCGAAGTTATAAAGAGGTAAAAGCCAAATTTTAACGTTGGAAATGCTTCAAAATTTTTAAATCAAGAATTGTTCTGCTTTTTGGATTAATAGTAATCATGCTGCGTCACCAGAAACTCATTTCATCATGCCAAATTAATTTGGGTCATAGAGAGTTAATATATATATATATATATATTTTATTACCACTATTTTATCATTATTACTTATTTATCACTCATCGGTGATAAACAAGTAATAATAATAAAATATGCAAAAATCGCCTCAATCGCACCGTCATCTCAGAGAGCTTCCCGAAGGATTTCTTGCACTTTTTTTTTCCTCACTCGACCTCGTTGACCATGAGTCACGCCTGAAGGCCCTTTCTTTTATTTTTATTATTATTATTTTTTTTTTAGTTTTTGCTGGCAGAATGCAATGACAATAGCGCTTGCCATGTGCTTAATTGGCCCATTTCCCTAATTTCACGTAGGATTTGATAGAACTCTCGATTTACCATTTCGTTTACATCCGGCCCATATTCGCCAAGAAAATCAAAGGGAGCGCAAAAAAAAAACAAATTCCGCAACAACAAAAAATCCAAGAAGCCAATAATCGAGAAGATCGTCCCACGACCGAATTTCCCGCCTTGAAGCTGCCGTTTCCGTGGAAGAGGCCAGGAGTTATTTTCGGGACGATCGGACGGCCTATTTTTTTTTTGTCGCACTTGTGGAATCCTCTCGCTTTGAATTGGCAGGACGATTACTCGGTTTTTATTTTTTCGGAGAACGAGGACTTTGATATATTTTTATTTATCATTATTATTATTTCCTGTTAGCTACTGCCAGCTGCTTCTGTACTTATCCTTGCTAGAACACCGAACATGTAAAAACAAAAATTCTAAAAAATACAATTTAAAAATGTAAAATATGAAGAAGGACCCTGGCTAAAACGACAATTTAAAGCCGGATCTCCCCCCGACGAGACGCAAAAGGCTGAAATTTGAATCGGCCTTCGGGCTGCAACCTCAACCATACACCACGCGCCTGGGTTTTCTTTTTGTCGTGACATATTTCCTTCCGTACGAACATTATTTTGGATCAATGTCTGGCGTAGAGAGGAAATATGGGAGTGTAAAAGGAGCTCGGGGGCAATAAAGCACAACTATTGGCCATACGAAGGAGCAATTCTTCCATGAAAACGTTTTCAAAGCGTTCCATATATCCTTGAGAGCATGCCGACCCGCCCATCCCGCCAGCCGTCTCCCTTCCCCCCCCCCAAACCGGTGGATCTCCGTCTGATGGGAGCTCTGACGGCGAATAGCTAAATCATGGCTGAATCGTGGCTTTGTGATCCGTGGGTGTCGCAGGGAGGGCGCATTGCGAGGAGTACGAGATGTTCCGCCTGAATCGGATCGCTTCTGAGGCTCTCCGCCAGTTCGCAGAGGGAGGGAGATCTGAACTCTTCGAGGAGGAGGATTCACAGGTAGGGTCGGGTCTTCCAAGAGGGAAGGGGGGGGGGGGGGCGTCTTGGATTTAATGGGGCAATGATGGCTGATGCGTTCCTGCAGGGGAATGGGGGGATACTGGATGCATTCGTTGGACCTGCCATACAGCGAGGGGTTGGCGTCTCTCAAGCTGAATTCTTCGTCGATGCCTCTCATTCGAGGGTTCGCTTTTTTTTTTTCATTTTCGCTTCCGAACCAACTTTAAGCGTGACATTTAATTTACGTTTTGGGATGGACAGGTGTCCCTGGTTTCGAGAATCGTTCCTTCTCCGGACTGGTTCGTCGGTGTCGACAGCCTTCGACTCTGCGTCTCCGGGAAATGGGCAGATATCATCACCGTCGAGGTAATGCAGATGGCATTATTATGAGCTCGTTCCGTTAATGGAGGACGCATCCATTCGAAAGAGAAAAGTGCATAATGGGCGTGATATTTTATCCTCCATCAGCTTCATCCTCTGGATGCAGGCACAGACAGAGGCTTTACGTTCACCTCGCCGAATTGGCCCCAGGAGCCGCAAGTCCCCATCGAAAGACTCACATCCAACTTCCCCGATCATCCGGCCTCCTCCTTTTATTACGAAGATAAGGAAACTCTCCCGCCCATTGCTGTCCTACGGATCACCAAGGTCTCTCTATACGATGCCTCCGCCTTCATCTCCTCGAACTCGGATCTCGACTGACATTGCCTCTTTCAGCTGAGGGAATACCGAGCAGAGAGCCCATTGGAGATGGAGCTCCGGTCCCCCGATTTAGAAGTCGTCAACGTTGATATCGGAGAGCACGACATCACGTACGAAACGTTACGAGAATCTCGTCTCAACGCGTCTCACTTCACCGTTCCTCAAAGCAGACGGCAAGATCTCTTGCTTGATGATTCAGCAGTGAGTTACGGCTCATCGAGCTGATGGACAGGTTGCATGCACTTGCTTTCCACGAACTCATAATCGCTGAAAACCCTCTCCACTCTTTCATGTACTAGGATGAAGACGAAGGAAACAGCTCTTCTGTTCCCAGCCAAATCCTCGACGATTACGAGACATTCAAGAAGGAGACGGTTTCTAGCCACCAAAGCGGGGACAAAAGTGAGTACCTCTTCGGTCTCTATCGATGATGCTGGAGTCCTTGAATCAAAAAGGAAAACTCTCATTATTTTCTATTTGTATCCAACGAATCGGCCTTGCTTTTCAAAGGAAAGAGGAGGAGACGATCGAGACACTGCATCGTTTCAGCCTGGTCGGAGTGGTCTTCATGCAGTCACAAGTGCGGGTTCGGCGAATCCACCCGAGAGAGAGTCGTCGTCCAGCACTCGAAGAAGGGGGGCAAGCCCTGCCCGCCTCTGAAGGAGACCCGATGGTGCTCGTCTTCCGCCGAATGCACCGATTCGCATCATTACTTCGACTGGGAACCCCCAAACCCTTGACTATCTCTCTTCGTTTAGTGGCTTGCTGATCCAACTTTCTCGCGCTGCCCTGCTGCCGAACTCATCTATCGCAGAGTTCTCAAAAACGGTGGCAGGAACCATCCCAAGAATGCAGCCTTCTCCTGACAACAGCCTTATACACACTGCTTCAGAGTACTATTGCAAAAAATTAAGCACAATTATTTATGATTTCTAGCAACGGATCAAAACTTTTGTGAGAATAAGTTGTCATATTTTACAGTTGAAGCACTTCATATTTGAATATAAAAATGTTGGTCGGAGACGAAAATTGAAAACGAGAAAAACTCGCTGATAATCAATCTCGTGGGCTGCAGTGATAAAGGAAAATTACCTTTTGATCTGTTTTTCTCATGATTGGTATTTTGAGCTTGCTAGTCTTATCTCTAATGGCATTACACTTGGCTAGTACTGTTACATGAATCAAAGAAATTATTAGAGTTGCCAGTTTCTTTGTTGGTTTATATACTTTCATTGCCAATAATATTTTGCCAGTCCTGATTGATGAGGCAATAAAAAATCAAGGATTATGGGGCTTCTATCTTCATGAGTTTCTTTTCTAGGGTTACCTGCACATATATTCACAATCCACACAGCACAACACTGCATCTGTTACAATCAGTCATATGGAATTTATAAAGACAGTTTCAGAAAAACATTATGCAGGATGTTTGGATTAGATTCAAAATTATTTAAATTTAAAAGCCCCTTTTCAAAGAATACATCAACAGCAAGGTGAAAAGAAACTTTAATTCCTGAGGGATCTAGAGGAACTCAATTTCAGAGCTCATGAGTCAAGAACTAATTGCCCTGATCCCTTACTTCTCTGATTAAAATAAAAAATCAGATCTCCTAAAGGAAGAGGCACAGAATAGCAGACATCAGAATCTGTGAGGTCTCACAGGCTTGTTGGGGTCAAATAGCTTGGGGTCCTTCAAATACATCTCCTCCTTCAATGCCACAGCCATTAACCCTGATGGAAAGAAAAACAAGGAAAACAAAGAATGAAGTAAATCAGCATGAACAGAGACATCACAAGTGATATCCCAGCAAGTCACTTACCAGTAGCCCTTGCAGTTTCAATAGCTTTCTCCACACGTTCCTGCTGCTTGATACATAATCTAGTGATATGTCTCCCATAAGCCATACCTGTGTATGGTGATATGAATTGTGCTAGCAGCTTCACATTTTTGTAGTTTACAGGCACATTATATTTGCAAAGAACACACTGGATCTTTTCTCGAACATATGGGTTCTCCATGCATGAATCTGGCTGTGGAATTGAGAAGATGGCATATTATGATAAATGTAGCATACAAGATTTGGTTGATAGAATGACAAAGCTTTTACTTCAACATCCCAATCATATTCATGTGATGGTTAAAAACAAGATTTACTAATTTAAGAACTTCCCAGGTTAGAGCTGATATATTCAAATAAGACCAGGAGTGTTCTTACAAGCTTATGTCTCAAAAAGCAAGAGACAGCATGTCAGAGATTTCAAAAAAGATTGTACAAAAAATTAGCCAAATAGTATGACCATGGAGGGGGAAATAGAAGTATCACTAGACTTTGTAGTTGCACAAGGTCAGAGTAAACCCTCAAGCAGAGGCTTATATTATTTCAATTTTGTGTGAGCAAGGTGAAACTGCCTCTTCATGGAACTCCATGTTCCAAAGTCTGTTCTGTATAAAAGTGTAATCATATGCCAGATATCCATGACCTCAGGGAAATTAAGTAATTTTCTTACATCTGATGCCAGGGTAACTCACATTCACTTGGTTCTTCTTTCTTAACGACAAATATACCAAACTTTGCAAGAAACCAAATTTAAACAGTGATGTCAAGGAGATAGAGTCAGCAGGATATCTCATTTTGCAAGTTAGTTTTCATGTTGTCAAGACATTATAAACACGTAATTTTAGATTGCTTTTTGTCACTCAATTCCATTGAATGGTTGCTAGTGCTGAAGATGTCTCCTTCCTACACCTTCTAACATATTCCTCATTCATGTCTAATTATATTTTATATTCTGCCTGTGCCCTTTTGGATGCAGAACATCAACTTCAGATCTTCAAAAATGCACCTACCCCTTAGAAAGAAAGCACTCAAAACAAACAGAACATAAACCTGCAACTTTATGGTTATGCTACTATCCATATTAGGTTATCAAGCCATGCTTGAATGGAGTCATTCTGCATCATCCATGCACATCCAGACCACATATATGTCCTAACCTGAAATTTCAGCAAAATAACTTCAAAGGTGATCTCTCTCTCTCTCCCAAAACAATTCTGAATAAATTTTTCCCATTGAAGCCAAAACTAGCATTCCATGTGCTTTCAAATTCAACCAATTTTTTTTGGTCCATACTTGGCCTTAGAGCAACATCAATGCTAATTTTCATCATATAACTTTAGAGAATTTTGAGAATAGTAAATCCAACAAAAAACTAACTTTACCAATGGTTAACAAATGAGCATTTCAAAATAAATCTCATGTTTACTCAGTTATAGGAATAGACCTACTGCTATGCCAAATTTCACCAGAACTCTTCATAATGTACCAATTTTTTTTGGGAACATTTATCAAAATTAGTGAAAATAACCTTCTCGCTCAGACATAGTACAGCATTATGAGTTAAATTACCAAGCACTGTTTACTAATACCGGAGAAAAAAACTAATTATTTCGAGGACTGTCTCAGTTTTGTGTTAAACTAAACTGAAGAGAGCTAAACTGGCTTCCTTACCACACAAACCTCAGTTTTAAGATCCTAGCTGGGCAAAACTTTAGTTTAAGAAACAGAGAGTGAGCAGAAGCAAAAATTCATCCACTAATAGAAAAAGATAACATGGAAAAAGACCTGGATATAGCTTATAGATTAGCTACTTCCTTTTGCCAGTAGGAGGATCACACCCTTATCCATCAATCCGGGGTGTTTCCTGCAGATTGTATCTTGTAAATTTTGGAGAAAAGTAACATATTGCTCTGCTGTTACTGCAGTTCCTCACTCTAGAAATTCCACAAGGATCACACCAGACATTTCCCAGACATGCAATTAGTTGTACATGAATGGCTTCAGTGCCATCTGCCTTGAGTGGGGGAACAAATGCATCATAATAGGCACATAGAAAAATGCACCCATACAAGCAGGAAAATAGAAGTTAACCCCAGCAGACAGTTGTACATTTTAGAAGAGTTAGATTTTTCCTGACATGGGATATGTCAACTATGATGCTTTAGGAAAAACTCCACTTACTCGAGCAATGAGCAATTACCATCTCACCATCCAGCTGGCAATATGCTGTTGTTCCTCCTGTGATTTATCTGCTGTTATTTAAATATTCTACAGCACATAATATTTTCAAAGAAGACTGAGACACTTGATTTTTTCATGACTAATCTGATTCAGAAAGAGAGGAGAATACAAAAATTAAAATATTTTCTTTACAGATTTCACTTGATATGTAATCCTGAAAGTGGAGTGCTGCAGGCCACCATCTATTACTTTCATTATGCTGGAACTCAAACAAGCTGATAAATGGACATTCCCAGAAACAGCTCAGGTAAATTAATTATACCCTCTGAAAATAAAGAGTCTCAATGCTTAGGCATTAATGCAAAAGTCCAAGATTTACTTACATTGATTTGCAGTGACGGGAAGCCTTAAATTGTGTTCAAATTAAAAGACATCTATAAGTATGAGGTCCAGAATTCCTGTGATTAATAGGCAACTGTAGCAAAGGCCTAACTTAGGTTCACAATGATAAATACAAGGTTGAAATTCCCTTGCTACAATATCAGTAGGATTATACAGTACTCATTTTTGTTAGATAAAGGCCTAGCTCAGTGCATAACCCATATAGAGGTATTTTGATTGTGGAATATAGAAGATGAATAGTAGGATCATAAAGATGCTAAGATATTACTCATGCAGGTACAATCTGACCTACCTCAGCTGAAACATTCAATGTTGAAACAGTTGAAACTCACCAAGTCTGGTAATGCATTGGATTCAATGGCATCTTTATCAGTTGATTCAGGTTGCTTCTCCTTGTTTGCTTCAGTGGAAGATGATCCCACACCTACAAGAACATTTCATTTTGTATAACTGATACCTCTCTCAGTCCATTTTGTTTAAGGAATGTGGACACAATAAGATTCACATTTATAACAGTCATGAATAATATTATTCTTTAAACTTCTGTTCTACCTATTGTCACAAACCTTTAAAGATTTGCAATAAAAATACAAACTCAATTGGAAGCAGTACATAATGATAGACTGTCAAAAATGCACCAAGTCTTTCTGAATCTCTTGAAGACTAGACCTAAAACTTAATGCTAACCCAAGGTCTAACAAGAAATGCTTGTTGCATAGTTTCATAAAACTTAATTTAACCTGCAGTCTTCATCTAAAGGATTGAAGACCCATTATGGGACAATCATGGGCCTAGGCCTACTGGTAACCTCTCTTCCAACAGTCTGATAGGGCAATGAATGTTACCACAGTAATTAGTAAATGAACCTTCATCACCTTTAACATCGTGCATGTTATTGCCATTAAGTATACAAAGTAGGGGAATTTCTGATAAAAAGTAGCCACATCACTACGAAGTCAATGCTAAAGGTGGCACACATTTCACTTGCAAGTCACTGTAAAAAAAAAAAAAAGAAGGAAGCCTTACGTGATTCGGTGTAAAGAGGACTAACACCGTGAAAATCCCTTCTTGAGATCGTTTGGGAAGTTGAATGCCAGACCCATGTGCTTGAATGGGAGTCCGGGCGATTAAATGTAATAACAGCAGGGACCAAAGCAGATCTCGCTGCCCTTAAACTAGCAGTTCCCTTGGTCCGAGAGAGTAGGACCAGGATACGAGAGCCACCGCTCGTCATCTCGGGCACCCCACGAACGGCTAGGAATCACGCACCGGATGAGAAGCACATGTCTTCCTGGAAGCAGCCATGATGAGCAACGAGCCCGAATTCGCTAACATGCATGGTGCTATCTTCTTTTTTCCACGGGGGATAGGAACGATAATGAGTACAAAGATGGGGCTTCCTTAGTGCAGCAGGAACTGAAAGTAGCACTAATTCCATTTGGGATATATCGTCAAAAACTCCGCAATATGAGAAGAGTAACTTCATAAAGAGTTGCAAAGCGAGGAGCTTAGGGTTTCTTACTGCTGCGTAAACCCGGAGACTCCCTCACATCATATCAAAGAGATCTAGTGCAAAAGGGTTGGTCCGTCGTAAATGAGAAATTAGTGTGTATGGTATTTTAGTTGGCCTATCAGGGTCTGCCAGGCCGAACTCTGAGCTTTCCTTGTCAACGGACTGTTCTCAACGATACACTATATTGCATTCGCTGCATATATTTTAATGCGGTTTGCAGCATTTGGAAGCGGAACGGATAAGCTTTAAAATGGTGTAAGTACATTTAAAATATCTTCAACAGTTTTATCAATTCGGGAGGTCATACTAACAGAAAAATGCGTTGCCACGTCCATCGCTGTTCCGTCCCATGGCAACGTTATGTTTACATGTTTATAAGAGCTCCCGAATTTCTGAAACTGTTGGAAGATATTTAAAATATACGTGCATCATTTTATTCAATCCTCTTTCAAATGTCACAAACAGCATTAAAATATATGCAGTGAGAGCAACATCGTTAAAAACGGTACGACATTTTTTGGCCTACCGTGTCGACTCGTATGCCCGTTTAGGTCTAGCCTCTACACACATCTGGGACATATCCACAGAACGCGAACTTCAGCTTGAAGGAAGCCAACATCCTATAGTCCTTGTATCGGGAAAAGGCCCACTTTCGGGAAGCACTTGACAGCAAAGGGAAGGCTAATCCTTTTAATAACCTCATTAACTAGGTTAAGGGAAAGATTTGAGGGAACTGTAGCATGACATGATCAGAGACATGTCTCATTTGCAGGGTTGTTGGATTGCCTTTCACCTCCCAGGAACTTCAGGCCAATAATTTTATTGAAGGAAATTAAGTCATTAATTTCCTAATATCCAGGAAAGCACCTGCTGTTATAATAGCTGAGCAACTTGCACTGACGATGAAGAGAGGAGAAAGCACTGAAACTGAGCTGTTGGTATTTCATCTGCACATCTTTGACATCGCCTCTCTTACCCAAGGGGGAATCCACAAATTGCCCTTCAGCCTCACTATATTCAATAACTTTTCCCCTCTCACCTCTTTGTCGGGAAGCCAAGCCATAAGTTCATTGCCTCCGTTAATCATCTTATTATTAAGAGAAACTGTTTTTTTTTTTTTCCCTGATACATGGACTATAACCAGTGGCGCACGCCGGATTTCCGGAAGGGAGGAGGAAGGCTGCTTCACAGCATAGCTCTATCGGTGTCTGTTCGAAAGATGGACATTTGTAGTGCTTCAAAGGTACCATGGACGCCCATAGTTGTCACAACTGTGAGATGCCCATGTCACTTCAGGGGCCGTATTCTATCGCGTTCTTAAGTGCGTTTTTCCTCTTAGCAAGGTGCTTAGCTGGTATTTGCCCCATTCAAATGCATGGCCGAAGTCGAGCAATTTGCTTTAACTACGTTTAAGATTTTAATAGAATACGGTCCCTGGTCTTTCCAACAGAAATCCCCGGGTGTGGGTAGAGGGAGACACGGTCACTGTTGCATTTCTTTCCCCAAACCTCAGTTGCACGGTGCAAGCCTTCTTGTTCGATTTTTGAAACCTGCAAGTAAATGTGATCTAATGGCGCTCGAGAGAGAGAGAGAGGATTCAGAGGCAAACTATGAAAAGGGATAAAAGAAGTATGGGAACTTTGATAAGAGAAGCTTTTAGAAACGCTGGGACTCGCTCGAGAGAAGGCTTTCAAGGGGGAACCTCATCCAGGCACTTATGATCAAGGGGATCGATGGAGCAGAGCGCGGTTGATTCTTCCAACTCGATGGTAGCAGCAGAACGAGAGGAAACCGATTTCAGTTGAGTAGGCCTCAAGCGAGACTCAGGTTGCGGGGTGACATTTATTTGTAGTTGTTGCGTGGAATGCGTTGAGGATATCGATATAACGGCTTCCCCTACTGTGACTTGCTTTAAAAAGAGCCAAGCAAACAAGGCTACGTTGGACCAACGTTGTATCAACGTTCCGAACATTTATTCAATGTTGATTCAACGTTGATTCAATTTTATGCTCTTCAAATTGTTTGCTGGGAGGCTTTATGCCTCCATGGGCAAAACAAGGAATGGGAGCATAGTTGTTTGTCGACTAGGCAGTAGGTGGTTCTGCTCCTTCCACAAATATATCTATCTTTAGCACTCAGCCCTGCAGCCGTCATATAACACCCTACGCCCACAGCGCATTCAAATTGCTAGGGCTCAAAGTGTTATATGGGTTAGGCCTATTTTATGATACATGAACGCTCGACCGTGACACGGGATGCCAAGTGCCTCGACATCCCGAACCGAACTTTGACACCTTGAACTTCGAGAGGTGTTAGCCATCGTCCGACAGCCTCTACGAACTTACGAACTTAACTACAAAGCAAGGTTGCTGGACGTCGGACCGCCTGAGTGGTAGGGTTGCCAACTCTCCCGGTTTTATCTCCTTCCTCTCGACTAGTTCGCGTAGCATGCTGGGATTCACCCGGTTTCACTCGGATAGGGAACAAAAGGGCAGTGAAACAGCAGGCCCAGGCTGTTCCCTGGTCCCGAGGCCTCGCACTCAAATCAATAAGAAAGTACAGGACGACAGCTCGCCTCTAACGAAGGCTTGCAAATGAGGCTTCCTGATCTGACTTGAGGAAGAGTTGGCACCCCTGCCGAGAGGGATCCAAGCTTCACGGCAGTTTAAGCCCTGTGTTGCACGATGTGGTTTCGAGGTAGCACAAGGTTTCATGAAAAATAGCCCATGTAAATTAGAAAAAACCTAATAAAATATGTTCATTATCTATCGGCAATGCACTGTAAGGCTTCTAGGCAATGACACTTCTGCTGGCAATGACAGGATTATATCAAACATAGCGTGTGCTTCCTGTTTTCCATTATGAAAATGAAAACTTTAGAAGTGTTTTTTTTTAATATTAATTCTTGCAACGCGAGAAGTTTATATCTCACCCCAAAAGAAAGCCGAGTACTTTCCGAGCTTCTTGAGCTAAGGTACTCTATCCTCTTCCTGCTCTTTGCATACTAGCCTTGATCACATTGATATTTACCTCTGGAGAGCTTTGTCCAATTTACTTGGCATACAGTGCATGGCTCTCGCAGGACAGGGATGAGGCAGTGATGGACCGATAACAAGTCCATCTCTGTATTTTTAATATTTATTTTTCACTATTGACCAGGGAAATGGGGATGAGTCCGTGATGCCCCTTCGCTTCTCTTTCCACGTTAATTGATCTCCGTGCGAAACTGGGATAATTCTGATCCGGGCATTACTTGCAAGCTGGTTGGGGAGAAGGAGAGGAAACAAGGAGTTCTGGCAACCCTGGTGGAGTCCGCCCTGGTCTCCCCATCTTTGCATTCAACTGGCCTAGTTCTGAGTTGTGCGTGTTCCCCCGCGTGAGTCACAAACGCTTTGAGGGAAGTTGTTTTATTTCGAGAATAAGTGAATACACTACGTGCAAGGGGAACTTGAACTTCGGTTCGCATCTAATGGTCGAAATACATTTTTTAAATTATCGAATGGCATGGAATACTGAATGGGGAACTTACATTTCGAATGTCGAATTCAATCTCGAAGTTACGGAAGATCGAATGACATGCTGATTGTAGAAATGTCGAAATTTCAAGTTATCTCAAGTCAGAAAGGTAGTCGTGTGAATTTCGAGAGCTATATCACAGGCAATATTTTGTGCCAACCCTCTTAGGAAGGACATGTCCAGGCGGTTGCCATACTCTGCAGCGATTTTGAGAATCCGCTCGTCTTTCATAATATCTGTTGTTTTCTTTCGAATGGTGTTTCCGGCCTCAAGCTGCATGATTTTCTGTTCCGTTACTGCTTGTTCTTTCTGGGGCCGCTGCATGAAGGCGAAAGTATTCATATGATCGGCAAACAAGCAAGACATTCGCCCGTGCCATGCTTCAATAAAATTTGTTGTTCAAGGGTCTCCCATCGGAGTGTGCTGACGTTCCATAGGGCAGGTTTAAAAGGCGGAGAAGTTCGGGGCCTTCCGCGTGACCTGCGATCGATGTAAATTGGACCAGCATTTTCTGGCATGGTTTCGAGCAACTCGTGGAAACACCTTGCTGACGTCATCCAAAGGTACGAATGCAAGGCAGGTCATCATCCGGATTTTCAGATAAAAAATTTAATTTTCCACGTTGCGACGGGCCAAACCACTCTCTTGTACTTTACGCCATACACACTGACAGAGATGATAAAAGCACAAGCACGTCAGGTGTTGAACAAATGAACTAGAAGAGTCTCGAACTAGAGTCAAGAACTAGAGTGCCTTAGAACTTCTATCTTAGACATGCAGACCTCTGTGAGGAAGGGGGGGGGGGGGGTCTGGCAAATACAGGTATAGAAACCTAAAAAAAAAATCAATATATCTCCAAATTATGTTACAAATAAAATGGGAAGAAGACGGCGCCGGACGGTTCGCTCACTCGGGTGCAAAATTCGGGTGCCTTCGTCTCGGGAGGAGACAGGAGACAGGAGGAGACAGGAGACAGGAGGAGGCAGGAGTCTCGAATTTCAGTCGATTTTTTTCTCTTTGCGAGTTTTTATTTTTATTTTTATGTATTTATTTTTATCCTGTGGCTAGATGGGATTAATCGTTGGTTTGCGACCCATATCGCCTCGCGTGTCAGTCGCCAGCTTGCCTTTCTCAAGGGGATCTTATTGCTTTCTCTTCATCTCGTGTCATTCCTTGCTCCCCCCCCCCCCCTGCCCCCCTTGCCCCCCTTGGCCCCATGCCTCTAATAAAGAATGACGTATGGATTGATTGCACTCGACGGGGGGTATCCGGGCGG